GCGTATGGCTCAGCCACTGAAAGAGCCTTCTTAGGTGCGTGGGCCAGGCTGGTTGACCTGGTGCTGACAGTGCCCCCAGCAATGCTGCCCAAATTGGGCAGGACTGAATCCCAGGGAGTCACCAGGGTGGGTCTGGTGGTTTTCACAGAGTTAATGTAGATTCAGTTCTTGTACCAGTACTGAGCCTGTGGCCATTTCGCAAAATGCCCAGAGAAGATCATGGCCAGCTGCCGCTCTCCTTGGGCCTGCACATCTCTGGGGGCTGCTTATGAAAGGCTGCCATGTGAGCTGACGCTGACCACCCACCACCAAAAGCTTCCCATGCCACCTCGGCTTGAGGGGTGGGTAGGCCCCCTAGGAGCTGAGAGTGCCCTCTGATGATGTCACACTAGCTGGGCAGGGCAGGGTCCCAGGGACTTACCAGTGTGGGGTGTGTGTGGAGTTCACTAGGCCAATGTGGTCTCAAATTTGGCCCTGTGGGGAGGGGTTAACACAGGAAAAATGGCACTTGCCTATAGACTATACATAAAGCAGGATAATGGTGACTGTTTCTGTAGCCGTTACCCTGTAGCCACACAACTCAGTCTTTCCCTGTATGTCTCTGGCATCTCTCCAGTTGCTGCCCCTCTGCTGGAGCCCAGGGTGAGTGCTGGCAAGAGAGTTGAGTCTGTGTTCAGGCCCTTTAAGTGGATGTCTGGGTTTCCAGCTGCTTTCTATCTCACTAGATTGGAGGGACGGAATCCTTGTTGATTTTCACTGCCAGATGTTGTAGGGACTCCTTTTCCCAGCAAGGACCGTGGGCTGGGGAGCCTGGTGTGGGATTGGGACTCCTCACTCTTCATGGGGATACCTCTGCCATCAAGCTGTCCTTCCTGATGCTCAACCACTACCTGTGTGTTTGCAGTAGCCCCGTTTTACATGTCTTCCTCTCTTACTTGTCTTTACGTGGCCTCATTGTTATTTTTTTATTTTTTATTTTTTTAAAGATTTTATTGGGGAATTGGGGAAGGGGAACAGCCAAGTTGTTGTCCTTCAGTCTTAGTTGTGGAGGGCGCAGCTACCTCAGCTCCAAGCCCAGTCGCCATCCGGCTGCCCATCAGCAGCTCGCAGCTGCTCAGCTCAAGGTGCCATGTTCAATATTAGTTGCGGGTGGGTGTAGCCCACCATTCCATGCGGGAGTCGAA